AGTTATATTCGGAAAGAATAAACCAGTTTTATTAAGAATAGACTTGTTTCGCTAAAGTTTCGTGGGAACGAAGTTACGGAAAATCAACTAACGACTGGAGACGTAACAGTATTATCAAATTGCACGATCAATAACTGTTATGGTGTAAACTGAAACTGAAGTGTAATGTTTATAACTTTTATAAGAATCATTTGATTAAAAATAGGGCAAGGATTAATAATATATTAGTAATTATATTTTTAGCCCCAATTATTTATTATTATTATTATTTATTTTGACTCGAATTATCTATACTCATCTTTCAGAAGAACTGGCTGACTAGTGTGATATTTAGGCATATCAAGCGTTTTGTACCATCTCTTATAAATATGTGGATTTTACATTATTTCGTTTAATTGGATTTCATGCAGTGCCTAAGCACTCGGCTCGGAAAATGTTGAGTTGTTTCTTTCTAGTAATCTTTCTTTCGTATTTGTTCTTTAGCAGATATGTTTTTCGCTTGCAGGAATGTTGCCGCAACTTCACACAGTGTGTAAAAAAGGTTATTGACAGCATTGTCCTTCACTGGCTGACTAGATTACATCTAAAAGAATGACGACGTGTGGTGATGATTATCGTTTATGGGTAAACTCAAGGTTTTCTATTTGGCAAGGGAGTGTAAATTTAACCCAGTTATAATCAGAATTCAAAGAGTTTTATATACTTGGTTCGAAAGGTGAGTCAATCAACGAAAAGTCATTTCGAGGGATATAACTATTCATTGATTTGGCTAGAAGGCACACTTTGTTTTCCTTTGTATTTTAAATAAAGATTGTTTTACATTTTACAACGTGTGTCCAGCCTATTTATTTTGCTTACACTCAGTTGTTTAGTCAAATTCAGATTCACTTTACAATTATTCTGCACGAATTTCCTGTCATAATTCAGATTTTATCTAATGCTTGTGCGGAAATCAGTTTATTCTTATTGTCCCCAGAGGGAATCAAGAAACCACAACAGGAGAGAGCTGCATTAGTAACTCTCCGAACTTATGAGTAAAAAGTAAAGCAGATTGTATAACAATACGTCAACCAGTTGTAAATTTTTCTTCTCCTGACTCTTATGCTATAACATTTGTATAAAAGTTTATTCTAAGAATACCACACCAGAAAGTAACCTTAGCGGGCCAAAGAACACAAACACAACACAAACGGGAGAAGAATACATTAGTAACTCTAAGAACTTAAGAGTGAAAGAAAAGAAGAATATATAATAATATATCAACCAATTGTAAAATTTTCTTCTCCCTTCCAAAACATGTTATTTCGGTGAAGAAAATAAAAATAATATTCATGGGGCCTTTCCAGTGTAACATAATAAAACTTTGTTGTCAATATTTCTAATTATTAAATATTATATATTGAAACCACGCTTCTTAAAAAAAAATGAATAATACTTCTAAAAACGATTTTTCAAGTACGAAGTTTTACTAAATTTGTCACTGTTTTCCAGATATATCTCTATAGCCTATAACAATAGCGTTATTTCTGTAGTAAAACCTGCTGTATATACCAATTTTAAATTGTATTTTAGAAGACACGTATTCATGAAAAACATGCAAAAACTGTTTTTATTAAGGTGAAATACTGAAATATAAATACTTATGAACAAGCTTCATGTTTAATCATCCCCCAGTAGCACAGTGGACTTACAACGCTAGAAACAGAGTTTCGATACCCGTGGTTGGCAGAGCACAGATAGCTCTTTGTGCTTAACTCCAAACAAACAAACATGTTTAATTACACGGGAGATAAAATATTAAATTTGCTTTTCTCACACAAGTTTGGAATATTCATTTTTATCTTAATTTTATGCCAGATATGGAGTAGAACAAAAAAAATGACCAAGTTTACTATTTTTATATGAATTAGCTGAATTAGATATTTTTTAAAGTCCCAAGTAGATTGGAAATTTGGAATCAAAAACACTTTTTTTTTCAGAAGTAAGTGAAAAAGGGAAAAAGTTAAACTTCATAAATAGATAAATAATGTTTTATGCATTCAATAGCATAATTATATATATAGTGTGTATATAAAGAGAGTTAAAATTAAGTTTTTAAGCAATCGGTTTGTAGCGCTAAGATGTTTAGCTTATTGGTTGGGACTCAAAATTAATAATAATATAGGAATTCATATTTTTTTAAATAAATTATATGGTCATGAATTTGTTCAGCTGCACGAAGAAGACAGGTAAGAACGCGGAAAGTTTGTAATAAAAAATAATGATATGAATATCTGTCTCCAGCCATTATTTGTCTATACAATTTGTTTATTCAGTAATTTTGCTGGTCCCTATCTATGCTTGTCCATGCACATCATATCATGCCACAGTGCTAGGCCTAATCACAAGTAAAAGTGTTATACTGATGTGCAAAGATAAACACGTTTTAATGTATCACTGTACTCAAAATTATTTCTTGTTAATATTAATAGTAAAGAAAAACACTTATTGAAAATAACACTGCAGAATACTGTAGAAACTAAAAATTCAAAGGAAAGTTGCGGTGTCATTACACTGTTGTAGTGTTTGAATATTAACTTTAAAGAAAACTGTTATCTTGCACATAAGTAATTAAAATTTAAAATCAATTGGCAAAAGTATGATTTACTAAAACTTGGAAACTTAGCTTGATTAATTTTGGCTGTACTAGAATTTTAGAAATAAAGGTTGTCAATATCAAGCACTATGTTGGGATTAAGATTTATGCTTACTAATCTGATTACTTACAAGTGAAAATTATTTTCAATCTGTGACAACAAATTTAGTCTCATGAATCACTAAGGCAACATCTATCTTACCATCAAGTTAAAAATATAATATAACAAAATTTTGTTTATAGCAGTTATAATTTTGAGTAATGCAAGTCATAGTTCTCATGTTCTATTACTTATTTTGGATGACTATTACAGCAAGTTTGGTAATTGAAATAATTTGTGTATTTATCATGGAATGATAAAATTACAAGCGTTTTCTTTCAGAAGTATAAGTTATAACCTCCTTACTTCTCTTTCAAATGATTGAGACATTTTACCATTATTAGATCCATTAACTTAGGTATAAGCATTCTGAATATTTTATATAAAATAAATATATAATGAAGTCAGTTCTGTAGTACAGTAGTAACTGACAATATTTCTAAAAGCTAGTCAATTTCAGCCATGCATTGTATAGTAATTATCACTAATGTTTACAAAAAGGTATACTGATGATGTCATAATGAGATTTAAGTTGTTTCAGCCAACACATTGACAGTTTTGTTCCTGTGTAAGTGCCATAACCATGAATACTTTTCTTTGTGAAATTTATGTAATCAGGTTGAACCAGAAATGGTGTATATATATAAAATTCTACATATATATGCCAGAATTCTAGTTTGTCTTACTATTAAGAAATGGCTGATAAAAAAACGTGCTGTCCAGTCTTTGTTAGTATAGTCAAATATTCATTGAAACAGTTGAAAATTTTTATTTATGTTACACGAAATATTGCATTGTGTATTGTCATGATAGTAATTTCTTTTTTTATTCAACTATTTTTTATTTCAGTGCATTTATTAGCTTGTTGGTTTTGCATTAATTGATAATTTTAATGTTTTACAGAGTATATATATTATAAGAACTTACAAAGGTAAAGAAGAATATGTAATATGTCAATCAAACTACATCTGTCATATCCAGCAAGGCCTTTTGCCCAATACCAGGGCTCACTAGGTAGGCTGGGATACAACATACATACTAGTGGCCTAGGCACTATATCACCAACCTTCATGAACAACAACTGTTATGTTGTAAACTAGTTTAAGTAAGTGAATTGTAATTATTATTATTATAAGTCATGTACAAATCATATTTTTATGGTGAAGGTGAGTAAAACAATATTATTTACTTTATAACAACAGTTACTTTTTATTATTATTTGAATTAACTGGCAAACCAGCAAGCTAGTGTTCTTTTTTCCAGAGTAAATTGAGTTACCATAACATCAGTGCACAACTTTGCCGAAATGTATTTCCCCATAGAATATTTATTACCTTAGATGTTCATATCATCTTTGACCTACAGTATATTCTAAATTTTTGCTAGACTCCTGCCTGAGAGTAAAGAAGAAGTAAAGCTTTTAAGCAGATGTTTATTAATAAAACAGTATATCATGAAACACTTATGCACCAACAATTTTCCATATTCACATTTTTATTCATGTTTTCAGTAATATTCTTTTTACCCACATTCAAAAACTAAATGTAATGTGATGACTTTATTCTCCTTAACTGTTTTAGCAACAAATAAAAAGCTTCAAATGATTACAAAAAATCAATGTCATGTAGTATTTGAACATCATTAGATTCACATGTGATATTATTGTGAAACTGTCTATTAAATATAATTTTAGTACTATCTTGTGGGTAGTCAAGTGATTCAAATAAAAACATGAGTTTTGCAACTGTGTGAATTATCTTAAGCCTTTATTGCTTGAAAACTTATACTGGTCTATCACAGTACTTTAAGGATAGTTAGTGGTTTTCACCTTGTTGCTGGAATTAGTGTTAATTTCACATGTTGGTATAATACTGATATATATATATATATAATTTATACATGCAAACAAATATATATGTATACTGTACATTTATTTTTATCTGTTACATGCAAGTGTCTAAAACTCAGCCTTACTCTTAATTGTACGCAAGACTTCCTACTAGTAATAAGTATGCTTATCATTTTTCCAATTAGCTGAGTATATTTCTGCCTTTATAGAATAGCTATCTTGTGAAAACATCAACTACCAAGAGTTGGAAATGAAAAACCAATACTGGAAGATTGTTGTTTCTACTGCAGTAGTTGGTGGTAAGTATGAATTTGTACATAATACTAGAGAGAGAAACAAACCTTTTTGTAGCTTAGTTTGTCTTTAAAATGTTACTCTGTCATTTTGTTGTATCATATTATATAAGCTAGTCTACTAACTTATAAGGTAAATCACATTTAATGTGTGTGTTTTTTTTAATCTGGATACTTTTTACCAAAAACAAAATCTTCAAAAATAAGAATTGGTAATGATACTAATTTTTAATGATCCAAATATAAGAGTATGTAAATTATTTTTGTAATATCTTTCAGGAACAATCATGTGTACTTTGTTGTGGAAGCTATATCATAGATTTGGGAAGAAAAAAATTTGTATTTATCCAAATGTTTGTACAACCCCACAGCATTGGGAGGCTGTTCAAGAAGAATTCTTGAGCTTATGTGAAAAGTCAAAGGTTTGTTTATGTAAATACATTTAATCTGTTAATGCTTCTAGCATTTTTACTCATTTACATCAGTAGTATTTGAGAAACAGTCATTCTATGACTCATTTACATCAGTAGTATTTGAGAATCAGTCATTCTATGACTCATGTAAGTCAGTATTATTTGAGAATCAGTCATTCTAAATTTAGTGAGGCTACAAATAATTTATTTTTTTAAATAAGTTTCTACTCATGAGAAAGCAAGTATAAATTTATGTTATCTTGAAGGAAGAGGATGTTTTATGTGATAGCCCCCTTTGCCAGCATGAGAAATGTAGATAATGAAAGGCCAGCTGAGTAATCTTATTCACCCTTCAACCAACCAGACTGTAAAGTATATATACATAAAATTTAGCATTTTCTGACCTAATCTCATCTAATTTTGCTTTAAAAGAGCTTAAGCTAAATGCACAGAGTGCACAATTTCATCCTTCCCCTGAAGCTGAAATTGGGTAATGTTTTTTATGTTGTTAGGTTACAGGAAGTAAATGAAATGACCTCTTGTATGTAGAAAAGGAGGACTTAAGTGTAATTCTTAGTAAAACCATAAATCCCTCTATAAGATACTTGGCTCTATTTATAGTTATAGTATTTAGCTATGCTTAAAAGGCAATAAGATATCTTGGCTCTATTTATAGCTATAGTGTTTAGCTATGATTAAAAGGCTATAAGATACTTGGCTCTATTTATAGTTATAGTGTTTAGCTATGCTTAAAAGGCAATAAGATATCTTGGCTCTATTTATAGCTATAGTGTTTAGCTATGCTTAAAAGGCTATAAGATACTTGGCGCTATTTATAGTTATAGTGTTTAGCTATGCTTAAAAGGCTATAAGATACTTGGCTCTATTTATAGTTATAGTGTTTAGCTATGCTTAAAAGGCTATAAGATACTTGGCTCTATTTATAGGGCTTTTGAATTTAAGAACAGTAAGGTTATTGCAGTTTTGAACCTTTTGCTACAAGAAAAATATCAACATGAGGGAAAGGCTGCAGAAATGGGCTATTAGAACAATATCTTCTGTTAAATTGTGTAAACTCTCATCAGTAGAGGATTGAAGATTTGTATGTATTTTCCCTAAGGGTGACTAGATTCAGATGTTTGAAATTATTAATGGGTTTATAAAGTATTTTTCTGGGTTGTATATCTAAGTGGTGTAATGAAAGGGTTGGAAATATAAACTTTAACAGTAGAGAGTGATTGGTTTGAGCTTGGGAAACCTAGGTACAGATTTGTTATTTGACAGTTTTTTTTAACAGTATGATTAATTTGTGGAGTGGTTTACCTAATAATGTGGGTATGTATATTTAGTTTAATTTTTTAAGAATTGTTGATGTATAAATATGAAGGACTATTTTTAAGTTTAATTACAAAAAGTAAATATGTATTTATTTATTCCTTTTTTTTTGTATGAGGAAAACCTTTTTTGTTTCTGCTTTAGTCTCTTTTTTTTATCTTCAAGATATGGTTGAATGTATATAACAAGGAAATAAAAGCTGTTGTTTTGTTTTGATTTTGTATGTATTGGTAACAGGCACTTAAGTTTTCAGATTTGTTGTCTCTGTAACTGGTTGCTCTAAGCATATAATAAAAAATCTCATTTTTTAAATTGAAAAATTCATAATACTGTAACTCAGAATATGACTTTTTTAACAAGTTGTAATGTGTTATTTCCTTATGTTTTTGAGCTAAAGTATATTTATATAAAATTGTTAGTTAGGTTTGAGATATGACCAATATATCTTATTTTGGTGATTTTAGACCTAATTCTTTTTTTGGGGGGGGGGATATCTTACAGGTCATAGGTCTAGACTGTGAATGGGTTACCAAAGGTAATCGACGCCATCCTGTTGCATTATTACAGCTTGGTACAATACATCAGTTCAGTGTTTTAATCAGGCTCAGCCATATCAGATCATTGGATCTTCCACCATCATTACTAGATGTTTTATCTGATAAGAGGTAAACTATCCAGTTTCAACATCATTATGATTCTAAGAGCTTATTTCAACCACACTATATCTGCCATATCCGTTGTTGACAAGGCTTTTCACCCAATACCAGGACTCATCAGTCTGGCTGGGATACAATAGACATAGCAGTGGTTGAGGCACTACAGATATAGCATAAAAATTATATTTTATAACACTAGAGTAGGAATACTTGTAACTTGGAACATTGTATTCTTAACTGTACTAAGTTTTCAGCAATAATTATTAATGTTCTACAGGAAGACCTTATAGATGAAGTTACTTTAAATATACAGGAGTGGTTTGCAGTTTAAGTTGTGTTCACCATGATGCTTGTCCTAGTACAGATAACCCTAGTGTGCAAAATTCAAAACAAACCAAATTAATTGTCCTCTCTAAAGTTTTCTTACTATTTTGGTAAAAACTTGCATCCCTGAGTGCATTATACATTTCTAAAATTATATTTTTTGTTAGTTTTTATATCCTATATAACTTTACACATTGTATGAGAATTATAGTCTGTTTCTTGTTAAGTAATGAAATTAAAGTTCTTGTTTTGACCATAGATTTTGAAATAATTATTTTGTCACTTTTTCTACCAGAATTACAATCAAACTTCCTTGTATCTATTAACCCGATACTCTCCGGGGCCATTTTGTCTTATTGTGAGGGCAAAATCATTTGTGAATTGAAAAAATGATAGAGAACTTATCTTTTATTGGATTTCAGATTTTATTTTTGTAAATAGTAGCATAA